CCTAAAATTATTATTGCCTTTGAAAACTTCCAACGTAATTTTTGTCGACTTTGGGTGTATGATTGCAATTTTTCCTCAATAAGCTCGTTATTTAAGTCATGGGCAAAAAGGTCCAAAAAAAAAATGCGTTTGCTTGCATGAAAGAAAAAGATTTCTGGGGAGAAGTAGCCACGTCGGTCTGACAGCAAAATGGCTTCTCTGAGAGTGCCTGAGGTTACTGCTCCAATCCAGGACAGCGAGCGACTCAGAAAGGCCTTTGAAGATCTATTATTACATACTGTTTACACTAAAGATTGATTAACTTATACACAATATGATATCTTGGAATTTAGTTCGTTCATTTACTTTGGTTTTTCTGATGACTTAAGCTATCTCTGAATTTAATGCGCCTTGGTTCATGTTAATGATGGAGTTTTTTCTTATCCACAGATATATAAGCTCTGTTAGTGAGACCTTCATCAAATAGCAGTTTGTAATTGAATGCATGTTATTTCGCTAAGATTCTTTTGTATGAAAGTTCATTCTTTCAAATGGAATGCGAGAGCTGAATAAATGGTCCAATTTGTTCTTGGGACGTCTTATGTCTGAAGCTTCTTTGGTATTTTCTGTTTGGTTTCATACACTCTTAACACCAATTTTGTGGTGCTGAGTTGTACTAATTAGAACTAATAATATAACACTTAAAAATGATCCTATGTGGAATTAGTTCTAGTTTCATATAATCATAGTCGATGATGATGCTTCTGGGAAAATGTACGTAGGATTTGAACGGATGAGGAGGCAGTGATATCGGTACTGGGACACAGAATGCAAACCAAATGAAAGAAAATTAGAGAAACCTATCATCAGCTTTACAATGAATCCCTCATTGATCGTCTACATTCTGAACTATCCGGAGACTTTAGAGTATGTTGTGTTCGTTTCTTCCCTTTCCTTGACTTTGTATCTATTTATACAATTCATGAAACGTTGTTTCAGTAGCGTATATTATTTCCTTGGTTGTCTGCTTCGAACAATACTTTGTTCTGTTTTATCAGACTAAGCTTCATGGTTGTGTCAGAAAATCCAAACCTTGCTATAATTTTTATACTACTCTATAATTTCACTTTTGTTTACTATACTTGTGATTTGTCATTTTATGGTGTGCTAGCTATGTGTCCCAAGTCCTAACATTTGTGTATGTATAGCATTTTGGCGGAATAGTTCCTTTTGTATTGGAAGAAGTTCTATAAAATGAAGATATCCTATATTAGGATGTGGAACTTTTGGATAATCCTGAATAGATGTTGCTTTTTATAAGACTTGAGTTGTTCTAATGAACTCCTTGGTAAAATAGGATTCAAGGACTTATTTAAGCCTAGTTTTAATAGCAGAATCTGTTGCTGCATTCATGTTTCACTCTCATTTTATATTTAACCAATTCATGATTTTTCAGGGATCATAATCTGGTCATTTGTGTAGCTTGTGGTGGCCTAGTGAGCTCCTACAGGTATGATAAAGAAGTTGTGGATCCCGAGGCTGCGATGTTGGAGGCAGCAAGACTTAATGAAGCCATCAACAAGAAGCAATTAGACCACGATGACGTTTTTTGGATACTTAGCACCAGAAATGTTTTCCAGCTCAGGGCGACTTTTGCATACTACAAGCAACTATATGGGAATCCATTGGAACAGGTTTTGGAAGAACGCTTTATTTCTGATAAATTTTACCTTTTACTTTAGTGGAACTTATTTGGATGCTGATTTCATTGATAGGATATCAAAACTGTGGAAAAGGAGATTTGGAGTCTCTTTTAAATGTGATAGTGTGTTGCATAGATTGCCCCGAGAAACATTTTGCTAAGGTAATTTTCTTTCTTCCCAATGACTTGATGATATGTTATGTACTCCCTTCAAAACTACAATATAAGGGAATTTTTTAAAGTTCTGCTTGGTCCAAAAATATAAAGCATTGAATAGTTTTATAATTGTTTTTCTAACCATATGTTTATTTCATTTAATACTACTTCTTTTTTTTAAAAAAATAGGCATTAGGAATTGTCATTATAGCACTTATATTGGTTATTTAATGAAGTTTACAATGAAAAGATATATAATTTTAAAAAAAATTAAGGTTTCGCCAAACTTCTTTTTTAAAACTGTGAAGAAGTCACCAATCCTTGTGTTATGATCAAGGGGAAGTACTTAATAGTTAAATTTAAAATAACTTATCAGGGTCTATAGAGCTGAAGACATTTCATTTCACACATCAATAAAGAAATCCTTTTTGCAGAAACTCCAATGAGAAAGGAGGGAAAACAGATCAAGGAAGAACATATGTGCACATATTGATAGATTATTTCTGACTAGAGCAGGGACCCCAAATCTCTAATTTGATTTCCTTGACTTTAATTATCAACAAGTTGTAAAAGACTCTATATGGGGACTGGGAACTGATGAAGATTCTCTCACTAGAGCTATTGTAACTCGAGCTGAAATCGACCTTTCGAAAGTTGAAGTGGAGTATGCCGCCATGTACAAATCCAGTCTTGAAGATGATACCTCAGGAGATACCTCAGGAGACTACAGAAGGTTCTTGATGACTTTGCTTGGGAAATGATCTGATGCTTCATGGCCTTATTAAAACTTGTCTATGGTTGTATTCTATTTGTGATTTATTTGAGACCGCTTGATAGTCGTTAAGACTTTAATTAAAATAATGTTGCAGAAGTAAAGACTGGGACTAGAACCAATGGTTTGTGATTCTGAATTGTTAACTGTTTGTAAATATTTAGTGGCATGATCTTTAGGTGAGAGTTAGAGGACATGGTATATGAATATCAAGGTGGTATGGTGAAAAATGTTGCCAACTTGACAATCAAACCATTACTGAAATTAATGTTTGGTTTTTTGAATTGGTCTGTATTTTAAAAGCTTAGATTAGATTCAATCCCCGAACTATATTGTGATGTGTTTGGAATTTATGAGGATTTGAAGTTAAATTTGAATTAAGTCTCCCATTTAGAAATACAAAAATTTATGAATTTGAATCTGCTTTTCAAATTATAAATTTTTTGCAATTTTAAATTCTTTCCATAATTTTATTACTTCAAGCCTATTGTTCTTTTTGCATTTTCACTATTGGTACTTCTACAACTCTCATATATTTCCTCATCTCTTATCAATTAAAAAATAAACATAAATTTTTTATTTCTAATTTTTAATATTTGCTTTGAATCTCAGTTCATATATGTCTTCTTTATTTAATTTTTTTAAATACCTAACAAAGAATTTTAAATATATAAATTTCAAATACAAGGTGTCAAATATGAAATTCAAATCTAAATCCATTAATCCAAATGCTCCCTCATCTTATATAATTGATGGTTTAACATATGAAAAATTACTCCTAATGTAATAAAGATAATTTTTTCAATTTAAATCTAAATTATTTTTCAATCAAGTAAGTCCTTCATAAAGGTAATTGTAACTCTTTGATGTATTAAAATTTATCCGTAATTTAAAATAAGTCATTTGAGGAGGTCAATCCACTTAAATAAGTAGATATAATCAACTACCATAAAATGAAACCCATGGAGAAAGATATAGAATTTTTTCTTTTACTTTTTTTATATCGTAATTAATCTTCCATTGAAAAAATGCATTAGAGAAATTGAATGGAAAAATCGTTAAACTCTAGTATAGGAAATACACGGGTAGAACTAGCCAAAATTAATCTCAAATGTGTTAGCCAAAAGATAAAAGATAAAATCTCATACAACACAAATGGAATCCAACCCCATCCTCATGGAAGTTCTATTTTGATTAAAAAAGAAAGTACTAGGCAAGCAAAAAAATTTATCTTTGACAAATCAAGAGTGACCTTTTAAAGATTAAATTTTCGTTTATTTAAAAATATTTATCGTATATTTTATATTCTACTCTTTCCTTCTAAGAAGTCAGCATTTTTCCACTAAGTTCTTCGCCATCACCGAAAAGAAAGCCTTTGGTTTTCATTGGAATAGCAGCAAATAATTTATGGCAAATTTGCACTCACGATAGAGGCTCGTATCTATTTGATCAAAGCCTAATCTAGCCTATCCTATTTTCACTCCTAGTAACAATGCACCATTTTGAACTACCATATATTCCATAACAAACCTTTTGTTTCAATTAGATGATAATCCCAATGTTAATCAAAGAGCAATCACAAAACCATGATTGACTTTAGTCACCATGAAAAAAAAAATTCTGTGAAAACATCAAAGAAATAAAGGTCACTAATTCAAACCCATCCATAATGCTATCTATAGCTTCAAAAATTAGGGAGGTCACATCCTCATTTGCAGCAGTAATAACAGTACGGGTTGCTCCAACCTCTATTGAAGCTCTGTGAGGTTCCTGCACATGAAGAACACTGGTACTATGTGGTTCTGTATTACTTGTAACATGTTCCAGAGTTGCATTAATGCCCAACTTTGATAATGCTGTCAAAAGCCTTCCCATATCAGGTGAACCCCAATGAAGCAGAGGCCTACTTTTTGACGAATTTTCTTGTTGGTTTTGCAAAAACAAGTGATGCTTAGCATTTTCCAGGATAACTCCCCCTTTAATCTCGAGATATTGATGTCTTCTTTTTCAACTTCTTCCATTAGAACTGAGAAGCCAAGTCTGTTGCAATTTTTAACTCTCTGTTGTCTTTTTGGCATGGTACTTTCAGAGTTTTGCCTTCAGTGTAATGAGAAACTGTGAATGAGCTTGCACTTGGAAAACTGATCTGTGACCTTAAATCCTCAGGAAACTACATAAAAAAATAAGGAGTCAAAAGAAAGTAAGGTCAATATGAAATGTATCCACGTAAGTTGTATAAAATCACCAGAACTATCTTTGGCTGCAATGTCTTCAGCAAAGGTAGTACTTTCTGCAACCTACAAAGTCATCCAAAGAATACTATGATCAATTTTTGGCAGACATTAAACCTAGACGTTCAAACACATTCACAAGGATGTTTTTCTCTAAAAAGGGTGCAAGCAAGACAGGTCCACCCTCTTCTTGGAAAATGTTACTCATCGATAGTGCCACGAGGCCCATAAAAAAATGTCTCATTTGGAAGCACAGAATAAATTGGAATGGAAAGGAAAATTTGATTTGATGGATTAAAAATGATACTTGTATCTTGATAGAGTACCAATTATGGGAGAGAGAATGAATAATTTGAGAAGTTAAAGACATTAAAAATAAATATTATTTTTAATTTATTTTAGATATTTCTATTTAATAATATTATGTAGATTATATTTAGGTATTTAGTTATGTAGATTTTATCTAGATATTTCATCCATATATCTAGTTATTTAGACTTTATTTAGATATTTATTTTTTTAGATTTTATTCAATATTTTATCCAAATATAGATTTTAGGAGATTTTATTCAGTTTTTATTTAATTATCTAGTTATTTAAATTTTATTCATTTTTTAAATTGTATTTAGCATTATAAATGCTTAGCAACTCATAAGTAGGCATATCCTGAATAAAACAGACTTTAAGACTTTTGCCCTTAAGAGACTCTCCTATGCATGGCTATCAAAAGTATAAAACAAGATTTTTGTTCCATATCATCTTGATAAATTTATTTCTTCTATTTTCTTTTATCAATTCTTTGTTCTCCTATTAATATCATAAAGTTAGATTCTTATTTCAGACATTAATAGAAATTTATCTTCCTCACTTCCTTCTACCTATCTAAGATCCTATCATATCTCCAGATAAATATATATATATATATAAGAGAAAATGATGACATCATAAACATTGCATTTTTTAATTAAATGAGATACTAAATGCAGTCATATATTGTTATTGCTGCAACTCATGTTTAATGTTTTGCAGGGTTGGGATAACAACCTGGAAGGCTTAAGTGGAGTTGCAAAATAACTAACAAGAATAAGAAATATGCAAATGAAATTTAAATGAATTTTTTTTTGGGTGAACACATCAGCGCTAACTCTTTAGCGGACCTCTAGCAATTTCAACTAAAGCTTGAAGAGTGATTGATATGTCAAATAATAAAACACATGTTATTTAGGTAGTGGTAGTTATTAAAAGGAAGTTAGGTCATTTGTTGTTTTATTTGACTTTTCTGCACATAAAGCCTATAAATACTAGGTTTTCTCTTAATTGTAATTAGGCTGATATCATAATAAAACATATCATTCAGAAACCTGATTCACCACATTATCTTAATTGTAATTTTTTAAGGTGAATCACAATGTCAATTATGGTTAGAATCACCACATTATTGTGTTATGGCACTCGAATCTGTATATAATGATAATAGCATTACTATATACCCTAGACCTTTGCCTGCTGATCATTTGAAGGTGACTATAATTATTCCAATAGAAAATAATGCTGAGTTGCCACTACAAATAGCAAATGAGGATATATTCACAAGTTTTGACACGGCTAGCACTTATGTGGCCTGGCTTACAATGGTTATTAAGTTACAGGTATAATAATTGCTAGTTCTTTAAAATCATTTATGTTTAATTTTAGCCTTACCAATTAATTTTACATTTTGTAGTCCTCAAAATCTCAAGAAACAATAAAGAAGCCAATCAAATCAAAAGAAAAGGCATAGAAAGAATTTACCTCTATAACTAAGGTAGGGAAGACTAGCATAGAATCTACTCAGCTAAAATATTCTCATTAAAAAACACGTGAAGTGATTATGTGAACAACATTTAAAAATAAGATTCGTGAAATAAAATTTGAAAATGAGATTTTTGGTGAAATGATTAGTGAAAAATTAGTGGCTGAAAATGTTAATGAGATTCTAACCAAGGATTGGCTACAAACCACACAAATTAGTTTATACATCAAGTACTTTCTAAATTTTATTTTTTATTGTGGTATTTATTTAATATTAGTTGCGATTATTTGTATTTTTTTATTTTAGGTACTTGTATCATACTTTTATAGTGCCGAGCTCAATGATGATGAAATTTTCATTTATTAGCCCTCACAATACAAGTTCCTACAATTTTGATTATCATTCTCAAAAAATTACCAATGCATTCAAGGCCAAAAGCAAGAGAGACATATTATTTTGAGCTTGTCACAATCCAGATTGAGTTGTTATTATTATTTATCTTTAAATTTAGTTAACATTTGAGTTAATGAAATATTAGGCAACATTGCGTGCTTGTTTGTATTCATCTTGTCATGCCCCGAAAATAGAGTGACCGACATGGGTGTGAATTACATCACACATTTTTGTAAGCCTCAAAATGTAAATTTGTTTCATTTTCATTTTTTTTTAATAATTGAGTTATATGAAATTATAACACTTTAAATATTAATTGTCACAGCAAAACTTCAATATTTTTATAAAAATTTTGGTAGAACCTGTCCTGTAAATAGGATCTCCTAAAAATTATACAACACAAAAATTTTCACAAAATATAATATCAGTCAGGAGCTTAGCTCCTTCTAGCCAGCAAACAACATATAAATCAAAATAAATTCTAACAATAATCTACATGGAGCAACTAATTTTTCTTTTAAATTAAGATACATATGACTTAAATTAATCTACATGGAGCAACTAATTTTTCTTTTAAATTAAGATACATATGACTTAAATATTTCATAAAAAGGTAACAACACCAAATAAAATTTTCACCCAATATAACTACATTTTCCTTCAGAGATTGGTAGTAGGATCAGCGTCGGCTAATGAATCTGAGACCAAAATAATTTTTCAGTGAATAGCATCCTCAAAATAGAATTCAAAATAATTAAAATAATAAACTCAAATAATCACATAAAATAATTGAAAGATGATAATTCAACATAATAACTTCATAAATCTGTAAATTATAATCATAACCATAAAATAAGAGTGAATTAAAAGCACCTTATTCTATCATGCTTAAAGAAAACAAATTACTCATAAAAAAATCAAAATAGTACATTTATTAATTGAAACCATTAGAACTTTGAATAAGCCAATTAATCAAAGTTTAAAATTTTAAGGACTTAACAGAATAGGTAACAATGCAGACACATAGTCCACGAGGGTAAATAACCAAACACGGCTTATGCCACAAAAACAAACGTGAACACATAGTCCATGAGGGTAAGTAACCAAACACAGCCAAAGCCACAAAACAAACATGGACACACAGTCCATGAGGATAAGGCTAACCAAACATGACTTGAAGTCACGAAACAAACGTGAGTACAAGGCTTGCCAATAATAAACATGAGAACAGAGCTCACGAAAATCAAGCTAACTAGTTATTAACTATAGCGTGCTACAAGCTAACAGAATTGTCTTAGCAACAGTGTTCCGTCTAAAGTCTTCTTAGAAATTACATTTTAAACATGCGAGAAAAATAATTAATTTTAAAATAAAATTTTCGTTCTCAATAATATCAAAATTGCATGAATTGTTTCAATATATAAAACTTGCTCAATTAATACATCAAAGCGAATGTACAAACTTGCATTAATTGTGTAATCAAAAAATTATAAAATTCAATAAACAAAGATGCCTTCATCAATACTAGAAATATATTTCTTGAGGAAAAATAAATGCACATATCACCATCTAATTATCCATCATAAATATTCCATAATTTTCAAAACTACTGTAATTCATAAGAGTAAAATATTTCAAAAAAGTCTATTAAAAATAAAGTAAAAGAAATGCTATTCACTTACTCATCAGAGTTCTAAATTTTAGAGATATTCTTCCTTTAATTCTTGTCAAAGTCCTATTCTTCCACACACCCTATAAGGATATAAATAAATATAATTTTAATAATTAATTTAATTTTTAATTTTTTTTATAATTTATTACACAATCTCAACCAACCACCATTATTTAAAACTCCAAAACCAAAATTCATGCTCTAGAGGTGGCTCAAGTGTTATCATTCACATTACTAGTTTCCTCCAATTTATTTTAATCATGCCAATCTATTTTCTTGAAACATAATTTTCTCTCAAGCTTTACACCAAATACTTTAGGTGCATTATTCTACTCATTCAATTGAACATCTAACAATTTACCAATAACCTTACAAGTTAAATTCATGGGTCAATAACACCCAACTAAGCAAACTTCACCCAAGAATCTATGAAATTCTAGACAAATATAAAATCCAAGTAAACTTCTCCTAACAAACACTTGTCAAATACCTTAGCTACCCATCTTCAAGTTCAAGTTTAGGCTCTTTTCTTCCTATTTCATCCAAACGACTTCTTTAATAGTTTAACAATCTGATTGTATAAATTATCTCAATATTCCAAAGCCATTCCTTCAACAAATATCAAAATACTTTCAAATACAATTTCAGCCCATATTGCTTCATCTTCTTCAGTGGATTAAAATTCCAACTTACTTACTTAATCATCCACCATCCATTCACACGATATAATAAACAAAAAGCAACTCACCTCTCACCCACACGTATATATTCAGCATCTAGAGAGGCAAAATGTCCACGTACTAAAATAATAAGAAGAAAAGTTCAAAACTTCATTCAAAAATCAACAACAATAAAGAAGAAGTAGAGAAAGAAGCTGATAAAAGAACTCACGCACCAACAATAACATCTACAGTGACACACGAACAGAGGTATTGCAAGGTGGAAGTTTCCCGACCATCCTCAACCTCCAGTGACAGCAACAGGAGAGTAGGAGCTGAGAGAAAAGAAATATTGCCGTTCAAACAAGAAAAAAAATGACTGGCGACGCCAAGTAGAGGAAAACAAAAATTAATGACGGCAACCAACATAGCAACTCACCATAACAGAAACAGGGGAAGAAGAAATGGTTGCTGTCGTGCACAAGGGAAAGCTCTGACCACGATAGCAGAAGCACGAAGAAGGAAGAGGTCACACGGAGAAGGAGAAAGAAAGGAAGAATCTCATACAGCCCTTAACCACGCCACTAGTGATGACAGCAATGCAACACAACAAGATGACAATCACAGCAAAGGCACGAACGAGAAGGAGACGCAGGGAACAAAAGGGAGGTAAGGATTTCTGGCATACTCACATCACCGGCAACGACAGCAGCAGTGGGAGGGCGATGAATCGAGATCACGAGGCAGAGGTTTTAGATCGGTGAAAAAGAAAGAATGGAGATAGAAAGATGCGATCCCGAAGCTTCTCCCTCTATCTATTCTGATATTCAGATAGCCGAGGAAAGGAAAAAAAAAAATCTTGTCAAAAGAAGAATTGAGAAAATTACAAGAACTGGCCAAAATTTTTCTATTATAACTTAAATGACTAAGGCATATATTTTTTTTATTTAGAGTCGTTACACATCTATCCTTTCATGCAATTTATTATTTTAACTCATTAAGAAATAGAGACTTTAAAAACTACATATGTATGAGGATATTATTTAATCAGTAAGTTTTCTATTATATATCTTTTACATGTCTATTATAACAATTAGAGTAAGAATGTCCAATTGGTGTGTTTAATTCTTATAAAGCCGTAGCACGTTGCTGAGATGGTGAAGGTCTCCCTCCAAATATTGGAAAGCTTGATCCTGTTGAGTTTTATACATGAAAAAAAAGATTTGTATTATTTGCTTAATTAAACAAGTTGGTGTGCATCTAAATGATTGTTTGATTAATATTTTAAGTTTGTTTTACTGAATATGCTATTTTGGATTGATGTAAAATTTTTAAAAAAATTTGAAATGTCCAATTTATAGGGGAGATTCTATGGATTTTTGCTAACAAATCAGAATTATATATATAATTTCATCCCCAAAATGTTAGTAATTAAGTTGAAATTTGTTTTTATCACATTTGGATAATGACATCTTTTATTGTTTTATAGGTACAAACACAAGTACAAGATTAGGAGTATGGATACTATGTGATGAAGTTATGAGAGAAATAATCACATAACAAGAGTTAATCATTCTTAATAATGTAAGTCAAGTGTTTTAAAATTAAGTTAATATAATGTTAATTACTTATATATCACTTTCATTTCTCATGTAGTATTTTATGGGAGCAAGTACTTCACATTTTGTTATGGGGCAAATAGAAGATGTAATTGAAAAGTGGTCAGAATATATAATTGGTTGGTTGTGATAGGTAACTAGCTTTCAATGTTAGAAAAACACAAATAGTTTCATTTGTTAGATTTGCTTGGGATTATACAAGTTGGGAAATATAAGTAGTTAGGTTGTTTTATTTGCAAGTTCTTTCATTGTATACAAATTGTTATGTTCAATAATATTGTTTTTGGATATTAGGATTAGTAATTTTTAAGAGATACAAAGGAGGTAGCTTAAGAAAATTTAAATTATAAAAAAAATACATACAGGAGTGCTCTAAATTAGAGCGCTCCTGTAAAAGTGGAATAAGGAAGTGCTTATGGTGTGAGTGCTCCAAATGCCTCAACATACAGAGTACTCTAGAAAAAAGCACTCCAATATCTTGACATATGTGAGCACTCATGATAGGAGCACTACCATATGAGGCATAAGGCATACAAGAGTGCCCGTTATATGGTCGTTTATCAAAGTGCTTTTTCCCTACATCTACAGGAGTGCTTTTTTGTAAATGCTCTCATAGGTCAAGCATATGAGAGCGCTTTATAAAGCGCTCCCATGCATACCAGAGCACTGGATAAGGGAGTGCTTAGGAAGCACTTTTGGAGGCCAAAAATAAGCGCTCTTATAGAGTTATTTTGTAGTAGTGACACAGACGGTGTAGTGAGCATTTTTTTTTATGCAAATTGTTCCTACAATATTAATGTCGAATAGTTGGTGGGTTGGTGAATTAAGGTTATACACTTTTAAGGTATTGAAATTATTGTCTGTTTAGAACAATTATAATTTGCGTCGTAAAAAGTTTAATATGATCTTTTAGATATGAGAAATGTAGTTGTAGATTTATAAGTTGTTTGAGTGATGCTAAGATAATTGAGATTTACATTTTAAGGAAAAGGATCGCATGAGTTGTGGCTTGCAATTCTTTGAAAAGTAAATTCATTGATTAATCCCAACCTTTCAATCCTAAGGATCATTAAGAGTTGTTGTAAGTTAAATGAGCAAACCCATGAGTTGGGTGGGTTGTAAAAAATTTTGCTAAGCCCTTGATAGCAGTGAAATATGCCATTACAAATTAAGTCAATTTGCAACTCATAGATCTTTCTTGATTTCCATATCAAATTTTAGTTCTTGTTATAGTGTTGATTAACAATATTAAATGTCAGATAATTATCAAAATAAAATATTTTGGGAGGCGGAAATTGATCATAATTTTAGTACGTAATTAAATCCAACTTGCACTAAATATTGAGATAAGAGAGTCCAAAGTGGTCACACGCAAAACAGATAAAGAAAGACAAGGTTGTGCCTCTGATAAAAAATGACTGAAACAGACTCGAATTTAGAGGAAATATGAAATATGACATGCACCACCACATACACTAAGATGAACTAATGAACTCGAACATTATTCATCATAAGTTGCTTCATCGATTAGAAAAGATCAGCGAAGTACTTAATCTTATTATTGTCCCAGAAGTGTGAGCAGAAACTTCTTGTAATCTCCAGAAGCTTCCTTGGCCACTGAATGCTCCAAATGCACACTGTTCATCTTGTAATAAAGATCTTTTATGTCTCTCAAATCCCTCTCAGCCCTTGTCACGATGACACGTGTCAGTGCATCCCTGTAATTCCCTATCCTCTTAATCGCATTACGCAAAACCTATATATAGATATAAATAAGAAATTTTCCAGCCACGTTAATCTGTCACTTGGGAAAATACGAGTTTAATCTCATAAGAAAAGTAATATTGTTATAATTACAAACTTAATTATAGAATTTAATCTACCTTTTCATAGTGCTTTTGATGGTCATTGATGCAACGAATGGCAGTGTGCACTGCCTTGAGGAATTCATCAGAGGCATCATCCAACAATTTCTACACAAATAAAATCAAGAAATAATTAGTATAAGGAAAATTTTTAAATAATAATAAATATAATCAAAATAATTATTGAACCTTGGTGATGGAAGTTCCATGATCATCTTTGTAGCGATTGAAAGTTGCAACAAGTTGAGTCTTACTTCTGGTAGTGAGAATCCTTATAACCTCTTCGTGATTGCCACTCTTGCGTTTCAGAGCATCATGAAGAATGTTAGCTTCAGTTTGTGCCAACCTTGCATTCATCTCATCACCTTCGAACCTGTAAGAGCTTACCAGCCCTACCAAAAGCTGCTCAAAATAATTAATCAACTTAGATTACTGTTTATTCAACCTTTAAGTAATACGAATGAACAATGTATATATATATATAGAATTAATATCTAACTTTACTCTTTAGAAGGAACGTAACATTTGAGATCTTAAATTTTTTTTGGTAGAAAGTTAACTTTTGTTAATAACATTGTACCGTTTTCAATTACTAGAGGGAAATAAGCATAAAAAAAGAAAAAGTTTAGGATTATATGAGCTCCTAAATCTATAATTTAATAATGCATGATAGCATTGCCCTTTAACCCATATTACACTAGCAAACTTATATAAAGTTCAGTTAATTACCAGTTAACGAGGGTATGTTGACTTAACCATTGGTCTTATTGATTTGAGACCTAGCTCGGTATATGCAATACACTAAAAACTCATTGGGAGATAAACTTTCCACCCATATTTAGTTCGATTTGGATTAGTTAGAGTTCACTAATACTTTTGAAAACCAGATGGTTTGACACACACACACACACACACCCCCATTCTAGGAGAAAAAAGGTAACATGTAAACGTAGGTAAGCTAATTGATGATGTTTGCATTAAGGAAACTAAAGCTTACCTGACGAAGATAACCAGTGGTATGAGAAGCAACATCTTCATCCAAAGAACGCTTATAACGATTGTGATAAGCTCGTCTCACAGCCAAGAGCTCTTCAGAAGAATAAATACAAGCGATTTCCACTATGACACTGTAATCAACATTCTTGCTATTCCTAATGGCCACATTTGCCAACACTGCATCTCGATCTGTTGGTTCCAACACCCATCGATACATAGCTCTCTAGGTTTTTTTTTTTCGCATAAACTTGTAATTACACAACTGTGGAAGACTAAAATACTAATTTAAATAAATGTATAAGAAGCCACACACACACACACACACACACAGTTTCTATCATAGGGTGCATTCTAAAAGAGTTCTTTGGTCCTTAATACTCTCTTCCGTCTTAAATATAAACATTTTCTTTAGCTAATATTCGTTCAAAATATAAGCAATTTAGTATATGTAAAAAAAAAATCTCTTATTTTACCTCTTATATTTATTAACCTAGGTCTTATGTAGATTTTCTCTCAGTCATTGTGTTGTAATTGAGACTAAAGATAAAAAGAGAAAATAATATATATTTTTATAAGAATAAGAACTTTATTGGCATACAATTTTTCCTAGAAACTGCTTATATTTTAGATCGGAGGGAGTACAAGGCATTTGATAAGGTATTAATTATATATTTTTCAATATTATCCTATTTAAACTCATTAACTATGAGAAAGAATGTAGTGCAAATTTGAAAAGTTTTCATTTAAAAAGGGATAAAATTAAAAATTTATTTTATTTTTAGACAATATTTATAATCTAACCACTTGCCTCTTCTTGGTTCCGACAAGGTAGTTAAATATGCTTGTAACATAGAGGAGAGGAAATATGATGGTGTACCTCAAAGTCACCAGAAAGCTCAGACTCGAGCCGTTTGATGAGATTCTCTTCATAAATTTCTTCATAAGCTTGTCTGATTTGCTGAATTTGAAATGAATTTCTGTGACCCAATATTGCTATTAGTGCCTTCTCATCAGTGCCCCATCCTACAAATATTTAATCCACAATATCAGGAACATTACATTCTCTGCAGTAATCAAACCTGAACATAATTAATCTTCTCTTCTATCAATGGTCATTGAGTCTAATATTTGGGAAATTTGATGTCATTTATGTCAGATATTGAGTTCAGATTGTGTGGATTAATAAAAACTATGTTAAAAATTTACTTTTATTTGAAACCCAACCTGACTTATAATTCGGATAGTTTTGTGGTATTTATTACCTCTAGATCCAGATTAAAATTAGTAATACTTCATTTTTGGTGATTAAACCTAGTTAAAATTTTCACTTTCATCAACGTCAATTAATCGAGTCAAATGGATGGGATTTAAGCAAAAGTAAATCTACGTATTTGCTGGTTAATAATCTACGTATGTCAGCTAATCTTAAGTCCAAAATTTATAAATAAAAATACAGTTTTAAAAAGACTTCTGATAATTAAAATTTTGAATAATTAGTAGAACTAAATGCTAGACAATTTATTGACATATATATAAATATATGAGGTTTACAGAAAAAGATCTTATACCTTTGACAGCCTTGTGGAGAGCCTCAGCATCTTGAACAGGAGAGATTTCATTAGGAGCAATCAAGGTAGCCATTGATGAAAATTGCTTGGAGCTTCTTTTCAGAGCTACAGATGAAGAAGAAAAGGGATACGTCTATGGAGAATTTAGGGTTTGATGGAAACCACAATTTATAATCCAAACAGGCTTATTCTTTGGAATCCACGCCTACTCATGCTTGGCTGAAGTACTTTATATTATTATATGATTAACATAATTAGTACTCCCTCTCTGTCATGATGTAAGTTACTGTTAATTAATTTATATTTATAAAAAAAGTTGGTATAAATTTTAATTTTTCTAAAAAATTTATACCTTTTCCATTTTATCCTGAATAAAATGAATATAATATTTGACTTATTTAAAACACTAATTAATTATTTGAGTCAAATATAATAAAGTAAGTGTATAATTGAAAAAAAGTATATCTACAACCAACATAATACTTTATATTTTGGATCAACTGAGGATTCTAGATCAGACTTCCTATATTGTGGTTTAGAAAAAAGTAATGGTTAATAATACTCCCTCCAATCTTAAATATAAGGTTATTTTAAAGATTTTGGTTTGATCCTAATTTCTTCTTGATTTTCTTATTAAAATTTCCTTTTCCATAATACCCCTATTCATGGGAGCATTTTTGTGCTAGTGCATTAAATTACGGCAGTGTTTATTTTTGAAAATATGTCATAAATTTCTTATATATTAATTACTGTTGTGTTATTCAAGTGTAAGTGAATTTCACATAAAGTTGAATTTAATAACTAATATATAATAAAAGAAAATAATCTATAAACTTGAGTTTTTAAATTTTGAATTGAGATATAATATTATTTCACTAGTCTTGCCCATTTGTTATCTTCCCCATCTTTGAATGATCACTCAGATTCTTAACAATTACTCCATCTAGATCGCAATATAGAGCATCTTCTAGAAGCTTTGCTTGTTCCAAAATATAAGATACTGGATAAATTTTATAATTATTTTTTTCAACCATACCCCTACTTCATTTATTATTCTTTTTGAAAGATGATGCATTAGAATTTTAATTATCATTATCAAATTATTTATATAGGGTATTTAATGAGGGTAAAATTGAAAGGATGTATAATTAAGATTTTAACTAATTTTTTTAGAACCATGAATTAATAACTAATGCTGGGGATAATATAATACAAATAAACAACTCACTCCCTTTTCTTGAATTTACAAATTAGTGGAAAAGCTTTGATTCCTTAACTGCTAGGCACAAATAATAAAATAGTGGAAAACCTTTGATTCCGTACTTAAATGGCTGAACGTTCTTTCCTTGGAAAAATAAACATGCGATTACATTTGATGATTCATGATGTTTGTTTTGGTCCCATGTCAGGCATGGGGACATTTGACAAATTTTTAATTGATAGTTTTTTTAATATAAAATAATAGTCTAATTAGCTTGGATATTTGTCCAGAACCTATATAAGATTGTGAGATTAGATTCTATTGTCGATGGGAAAATTTTGCTGATAAACAGTTTATAAATACTTTTGTAAATATATTTTAAACTCAAAAGCATGTCATGACTCTAATAAGCTCCTAAAATCTAGCTCATTTAGACTTTCGATCACTAAAAAATTTATTTATTTACTCAATTATTTTAGTTTTTATATTTTAAAATGAAGCAATTATATCATTTTGAAATATATAATTTACATCAAAACTGTTCAATTCATAAGTCAAAAATATTATGTCATTCATATTTTAAACGTTTTGCAATGTACCAAAAAATGTCTAAAAAATGGGGGGAAGAAAAATAAATCTGTCGTGGGGGAGTATCAGGAGGAGGAGTGGCTATCACAGTTTTCCACCTTTAATATTTTAAAACAATGCTTCGAACTTGATGTTAAAGAAATATTTTTCATGAAGTTAATTATTTGTCCCCATATAGGGACTTCGATCTCTGCCAATATATTATTTTGTAAAATAAATTTACTAGTGTGAACGGAAGAAAATTAGACTGAAAATCATGTGAAGCATTTTGGAAGGTTGTGGTTGCCTTGAATAGATCAATTCCACCTAATCCAATACACATACGTATCCTTTTTTGTCAGATTTGAATTTCTCTACAATTTGAAAAAAAACTGATATGATTAATTAAATTAGTTTTCTTTGAAAGCATTTCATCCCTCCTAGTTTATAGTGTGTGAGATTCAAACTCTCCAATAGTTGGTGCTCCTTGTCTCTTAGCTTTTTCTTTTTACCAGAATATCATCTGCTGAGGGTAATTAAAGAGTTTTCTTCTTTCTTCTTTACCTGATCAATCATTTTGATATCCGAATTATATTCAAGTGGACAGAAATTTAAAGCTTGGTTTGTTATTATTTGCTTTTGTAGTGTTCTTAAAACAATTTCATTATTAAAAATACAGAATTAATTTTAACATGAAAAATAATTTTGGTGTCCGAATTATATTCAAGAGGACAGGAATTTAACATGAAAAATAATAATTTCATTATTAAATAAACAGAATTAATTTTAATTAAAATTTAAATTAAAAAATTAAAACTGAATAACAACTCTCTGGCACTACAACATTTTTTGACCTCTAGCAACACATTGTTTTGCAAAAAAAGTTCTTAAAAGGTTGTCTAATACGTAAATAAGCAACATTTAATCAGTTTATTTTGTTGCATGTGGGATTTGGTGTGGATTTTAGAAAATCCTAGGCCCTAAATTGTGGATATTGGTTGACCTGGAAATTATATAATGTTATGGGATGTTTATCTGGGCTTTTTATTGTGTATTGATGATCTTTGGAATTAATGTTGGCATTTTTAGAGGAATAAAGGTTATAGATTGGAAAGAGAAAGCGATATTTTAGAGGTAGAATCAGATATGGATTTTAAGGAAATTAACTATTTAAAATGTGTAGAGGGGATTTGGGGTTGATGTGGTATTCATTGGGAAATTATCAAGTTATTGTAGATTAATTCTAGTGCTGCTATTTTCTGGCTGAGGAGACCGAGCTCCAATGTATTATTTTTGCTTGGCAAGAGGCAGCTACATTTAATTTACCCCGCAAGTTAGGTATATATATAGGGCCCCATTGCACATCATACTTTGATACTTTTGTTTTTTTTTTTATAATTTTGTATTAACATTATGGCTAGGAGTGCTGGTAGTATAGAGCAGGAGGCCTTTAGGTTGTTGTTTGACTTAGAATATTATTATTGATGTTTTAATTTAAAGATGGATTTTATAGCAGACACGAGTTTTGGAATATCCCATATTTGAAAAGCATTGTTTTGATATGTTATTGTTAATCTGGTTTTTTTTTTTTGCCATAGTAAATGTTTTTACCGGTTTCACTAAAGTGTTACATGTTGATATTGATCCTCACTTTAAGCCACAAATATTTCACAAGTGAAAGTAGTACTGTAAAGTGGAATATAAGTCAACAATTTTCAACTGCTAGGGAAAAATCTCGGAAGGAAATATAAAAACTGTTGCCTATAAAGAAATACTTTTATTGCGATATTTGAAAACAATTCCTTATTTTAAGAGGCAAGAAAAAAAAATTTTGCCTTTGAATGTTCTATTTTGCAACATTTAAAAATTGTTGCCAATTGTTAACCTATATATAAAAATTTTATTCACATTTCATGTTTTGATATATTTTTTAACGTATTTTTACTATTTTATTTATTATTTAATTAATTTGATAATTTATTTATTAAATTATTTTGAAAATCATCTCTGTATATAATATTTTGTAACACATTATATGATAGCAATTTTAGAAGTGATTAGTGTAACATCCCAAATTTAAATTTAAGGATTAATTAAGATGACCAAAGTTAAGATAGTAATTTAATTATAATTAATGGTGATAAGGGTAATTAAGGATGACCATTGGGCGTGTTGGGTGATTGGACAAGTTTGGAATTGGACTAGGAAGACCAAATCCGAAAGTTAGCCCATTGTGTTATCCGCTGTGACGTATGACAATTACTGCGGTAGATGCTTGAATTCTAATGTAATCATATTCACGAGAATGGCTAGAAAATGAAAGAATAGGAGAACAAAGGAGGGACGAAAGGTCTCTGTTAGGGCATGAGTTGCTCCGTCATTGGAGGTGGATTGGAGCTTTGAATCACTAAAATAACCCTCCAATCTTGTTTCCCTTACTCTCTAGCTAGCTAGGTTTTTCACCAAAGTTTAATGATTTCTGACATGGGTTCAAATGGGAAAGGTCTAGACTGATTAATTAGTCTGACTTTAATGGAGTTGTTTAGAGCTTATATAATTTCTCATGGATTGGATTAGGCTTCTATGATGGATTGTGGATGGTTTGTGATTTTTACACAAACCCTAAGTGTGAAAATAATGATTTGAGGAAAATGCAACGATGCAATGATGATGTTTGGGCTAAAAGAAGTTTATTTAAGTTAATGGGGAGTAGAAATGGTTTTAGTTGAATGACAGTGGGAGAAACAATGAGTTTAGAGAATGTTGGGCTAATTTAAATAGTTAGAAATGTATAATGTTGGATGATTATAACTTTTATTGGATTGTAGATTAACTTCGAATAGTCATTCATGGGAAAGAAGAGGCTCAAAAGATTTGATTTTTTCATGTGTATTACTTCGTAAACTAAAGGTTTAAGATAACTAGAAAACCTAAATCCTTTATTGAGCTTGTTTGATCTTGTTTGTAAAATTTGTGAACTGTGGTATTTTAATATGAAAATTATATTTCCATGAAAATGATTGTGAAGAACGAATATGATCTGCATGTTGAGAAATATGTGAACATGAAAATGAAATTGCATGATGACATGATCATATGAGTGTAACGGTGGAAGTTCATCTTGGGGTACTTCTAAATTCCACACAGTGTTGCCAACATTATGGTGGCCTTAGTGTCTCGCTTTTTAATTGCCGTATATTACCCTTTTCCTTATATGGGAAATGGGTAAGGGCCAGACATTGCCTTGTATTACTTTTTTCACCTTCAAATGGGAATTGGTATGGGTTGAGCATATAACACTTGTTAATTTGAATAAAGGGAATCTATGGTCCAAGTGTAAGCATGG